TATATATATATATATATATATAATATTTATTTAATTATTAATATTTATGACAGGACAGTTTAGGACAGATAGGGGCGGGATCGGGAAAGGTCCTCGAGTGCAGAATATTTACAAGTAAATCAAGTTAGATTTATTAGCTAAATTTGTCTTTTTTTAGTTTTGGAGTCATTATTATTATTATTATTATTATTTTATGAAATCAGTACTGACACTGACAGGTCTTTTCTGACTTTTGCTTGTCAAAGGTCAGAATTTTGGCCAATTTTTGATTAATCTTTCTTCTTTTTCATTATATACTAGTTTTTTTAAAAACACTTAAAATATCCTTGTGGTTTGCAGGTCACTGAGTCTGGTTTTGGCTACTTAGTTCACTCTAAATCAGTGTAAAACAGAAAGCTTTTACTGCTTGTTCTGTCATTTCATGCCTAGTTAGGACACAAGATTTTTTTAATCTCCATTACGCAAAGTTTGTAAAGTCAAAGTGACACAGTTTCTCGTCCACACTATAAGCATATAAGATATAAACATAAATAATATGTAAGCAAAACCAACCGATTTAGTTTTTTAATAATACTGGACTTGTACATATAAAGATCAGGAAAGGTTCAAACAAGAGTGCAGACAAGAATGTGTAAAATAGCTTCACTGCAACATTAAAACGGCACATGAATGTATAAAAGAGCTTAAGAAGACTGGATGTGCAAAGCTACTGATCACATGGATTAAGGTGCAGATCAGAGACCTTAAACATACAATAACAGAGTCTCAGGCAAAAAGATTTTCATTTATAAAACACACAAACAAGATCAGAACAGGCTTTAGAGCCCCTATTTAGCATGCATAAATAAATGATATGAACAAGGAACATTTTGAAAAAATGCTTAATAAAAACAAGCTTTAGCAAAACGTTGTGTAGCTGCCAACATTTATGCAGCCCTTGGGACAAAATTCAATATGATATGGAAGTATTTTGGATGTCCCGAAAAAGCTTTTGTTTTGCTAAAAATTGACATGTTTATTTTAAGAAACTGGTGTTGAGTCACAGATATAACAAATAAAAACAGAACGTCAAAATGCTATAGAGAGACGTCTGATTTATTGTAGTGCTTCGTAATGAGGAGCAGGGAGCAAAGAGCTGCGGGCACAGGAGTCAGGTACGAGATTTCTTCTCTTTCCTGTCAGACGACACTTCGGCTTTACGCTTGTGAGCCTGTGACAAGATGAAACAAAGCATGTTTTTAGGACAGTTAGACAGAGAGAGACAGACAGACAGACAGATAGATAGATAGATAGATAGATAGATAGATAGATCTTGCTGACATTATAGGAAGTTAGAATGTGATGGAACGGTATTGAAGCAAGAGAGAAGAGGCAGAAAAAAGGAAAAAAATGCTCCTTGCTCCAGGCAAAATCTTACAACTCACAATGCACATGCTCTAATAGCTAGACAAGATACATAGACAGACAGACAGGTTTGAAATCGTCAGTGGGATATACTATACTATACTGCGGACAGTAAATCTGAGGGGAATTTTGATCATTTGCATGTTGTTCTTGTTCAGTTGTTCAAGCGTGATTCCGTACTAGAAAGAAAGTCTCTGGGGACGTGAAGCACGGAGCACAACAACAGATGGAGCGAAAAGAAAGAAGACAGGACGTATTACTGATTGTCCTTTGGGTGTTCTTCTCTTTTTCTCAGCGCGCTCTTTCTCCTCTATCTCCATGTTCTCTTTCTCAATGAGAGAAATGAGCGTGTTACAGCGGCGCTGCAGCTCCTAGCAAACCAGACAAAACACACGCAAGGAAACTCTTTCATCATCTCAGCACAAGAGTTATACATCACATCTCATCGACTTTTACAATTCCTTTCAGGCATCACACTAGCATCTGCACCCACACGCTTTCACAAACACGCACGCCAATATGACCTGAAAAACATCCCTGGATCTACTGTGATTAAAAAACTGAGTTTTGCATTTGTGTGTGAGACACTCGGCTGTCTAAATGAGAACATTCCACTGGCTTTTATCCCTTATTTTATTGTTTTTACATAAATACTACAGACTAATCTTAACCCAAACCATAAAAGTATTATAATTTTTTTTTTTTTTGCATTTTAAAGAATTTATTAACTTTTTTTTTTCACTTTTTGAAGCTTTGTCACATTCAGTTCACTTCTGGGGACAATGCTGTCCCCAAAGTACAGCTAAGTAAACCTACACACATGCACAACCACGGAATTATATCTATATTAGACTTCCCATTCACATCTAATGTGAGCTGACGGTAACTGTTACATAACCCTAATATTAATAATAAATTAAGGTGCCTTTTAGACTCTTTATTAATCTTTTTCATGTGGTTATGCCTCTTAAAGAAGGCTTTGCAACTGACATTTAATGTCCCTTTTTTAAAAGTCTCCCATATATACAGTCAAACCAAAAATTATTCAGACATCAGATATAATTTTTTATATTTTTTTTACTTGTGGGTGCAGGACACTATAGTTCATTTATGTAAGTGAGTATAGTAAAATAAAGTATACCATGACATATTATACCCAAAAATTCTTCATACAGTGGACTACCAGTAAAACTGATCAAAATTTGGGTGTTTTTTTCTTTAATTGCTAATCTGACCTTTTTACACCACAAACTGAACAAAAGAGACATTATCAAGATGAATTTGTTCTGACACAGTTTAACTCTGAGTTCTTGTCATATTTTATTACCATTTTCTAAACTATAGCGAATAAACTGTGATAATGTGAGAAATGTTGAAGGTGTCTGAATAAATTACATATATAAACTGTAATTCATTTAATTTCCACACCTTTTGAATAAATTTCCAGGTAATAAGTGTAATTATTTTTATCATTTATTTTCCAGTCATTCATGATTGTTGGATGAGGATTTTATTTGTATTTTTTTACTTTTTTATGACAGCAAATATACTCGCAGAGAACAGTTTCTTGTCAAGAATTTTAAACAAAAATATTCCCTGATATTTCCAAGTTGCCTATGACTGGGCACTCTCAGAAAAAAGAAAAAAAAAAGTGTCACTGGGACAGTACCCTAAGATACAAAAGCTTAAAGGTACATCTTTGCACCATGTTTACCCTTAAATGTTACATATAAGCACCTTAAAGATACATATTAGCTTTTCCTAAAGTGTACATATTAGTACCTTTTGAAAAGGTACCGCCCAGTGACAGTTTGGTACCTTTCTTTCTGAGAGTGTGGGAGTCCTGGCTCTAAAGAGTTCTCACCATGGCAGTCCTGGATTTGATGAACCAATCAAATCTGAATTGTGGAGCGTTCCGTACACACTGTCGAAGTTCTTCATAGATATATTCTTTATCAAAGCCCATCTTATGCAACATGCAAATCAGAAACCTGTCTTCCTCCTGCAGGCACACACACACACAAAAAATAAAAGTTTCCATATTTTAGGTTCTTCGTAAACACACTATACACAAACGAACTCTCTCATATGCACCCACCTCTGTGTAGTTCTTTCCTTTGTTTGTGCCGTACTGTATGCGGAGCTGGTGGAACGGAGCCTTGTACCTCGCTATCTACAAGTACACCAAACACACGTCATCAAACAAGTAATATTTACTAATTATTATTGCATCAAAAATTTTATTTTCTCTGAAAGTTTCTTGCTTCGTGTGATAAGGCTATGACTTTATTGCCTAATACTGAGGTTGCAAATCATCAAAAGCAAGGAATACTAAAGCTACCACACAATCGTAATTCAGCAGCCATTAAAGAAAAACTGGCTTGTCAAATTTTTGAAAGGTTGACCTTGGTGTCCAAGGCTTTTTTGATGCTGATGCGTCTCTGGATGCGAGCTTCTCCTCGCTCTATCTGAGCCATGATCTTCTCAATATCCTGCAGCTCATTACAGCGTTCCCAAAACACCACTATTATAACGACAAACAATGTGTAAGGCGTGTGTAGTTATTACAGCAGTGAAATTTTTTTTTTGCGTGGTGTGAGGTAGTTACTTGAGTATTTTATGCATGTTTATATATGTGTGTAGTCAATACAGCTGTAAAGAGTACAATAGGGATGAGTCACGATGGTCTACTACGTGCCCAAAAACAGACTAGTCGATTAGCAAAGTTGCTTCATTTTGTCCATGATTTTTCCTTAAATATTTTTTTATTATTTTGTTATTTTTTTTCTGAAATGCTTTAATTAGCAGTTTGCACTAAAATCAACTTTTCAAGTATTAAAATTCAAGTACTGAAATTAATAAGATAAGATTTTTCTAATAATATTAAAGGGGTCATATGATGCTGCTAAAAAGAACATTATTTTGTGTATTTGGTGTAATGAAATGTGTTTATGCAGTTTAAGGTTCAAAAAACACATTATTTTCCACATACTGTACATTATTGTTTCTCCTCTATGCCCCGCCTTTCTGAAACGCGTCGATTTTTACAAAGCTCATCAGTCTGAACATCATCAAACAAGTAATATTTACTAATTACTACTGCATCAAAAATGAAAATTTCTCTTAAAGTTTCTTGCTTCATGTGATAAGGCTGTGACTTCATTGCCTAATATTGAGGCTGCTCATTATCGAAAGCAAGGAATAATAAAGCCACCACACAATCATAATTCAGCAGCCATTAAAAAAAAAACTGGCCTGTCAACAACATAACTGAATTCCATGGCAAGTTTTTGAAAGGTTGACCTTGGCATCCAGGGCTTTTTTGATGCTGATGCGTCTCTGGATGCGAGCTTCTCCTCGCTCTATCTGAGCCATGATCTTCTCAATATCCTGCAGCTCATTACAGCGTTCCCAAAACACCACTATTATAATGACAAACAATGTGTAAGGCGTGTGTAGTTATTACAGCAGTGAAATTTTTTTTTTTGCGTGGTGTGAGGTAGTTACTTGAGTATTTTATGCATGTTTATATATGTGTGTAGTCAATACAGCTGTAAAGAGTACAATAGGGATGAGTCACGATGGTCTACTACGTTCCCAAAAACAGACTAGTCGATTAGCAAAGTTGCTTCATTTTGTCCATGATTTTTCCTTAAATATTTTTTTATTATTTTGTTATTTTTTTTCTGAAATGCTTTAATTAGCAGTTTGCACTAAAATCAACTTTTCAAGTATTAAAATTCAAGTACTGAAGGCGTGGCTGACTCTTAACTTTTATAAAGAATATCTCTTTGGATTTGAGACTTTAGTCTTTAAACTAAGAGCTTGTAACACTCCAAAGAGAAAGGAAAAATTGAAATCGCATCATATGACCCCTTTAAATGTATTGTTAATTATTGCTCTCATCATGTCTCATCTTACCATGTTTAATATTTTAATATATTCTTGTTTTAACTTTTTTTTTTGATCTGGTCACAAGAACCCAAAACGAGCCAAATTATACAGGGTTCCATATGACCATTTAGTTCAAGCAACTCACCAACTAGTGGACATTCCTATTGTGTTATTTCTATAGATGTTAGGCTTGTGTTTAGTTGCACTGGTGTGTACTGTACCGGAGTATTCCATGACTTCCTCAGGCGTCTTGCCCTCCACCTCTCTGGCAATGTTGTCAATGTCATCACGACCATACTTCTCATTAGCTTTAATAAACTGATTGAAATCACGCTTGTTCCAGTTTGTGAAACCCTGGGGAAAAAAACCTTCTGCTGTAGCTCTGCTCTGTACTTTGCACATTTACAAGTGTGTATGAATGTGTAAGTAGGGATGTAACGATTAACCGCGAGCCGGTTAAAAATCGATTCAAATATGTGACGATTTAAATCGGTTGAGATGCTAAACAAATCGCGATTCATTTAGGGGTAGGAGTTTATATGAATGTATGTCTGAGGGGAACTTACTGTCTTTAGAAAAGTTTAGATGGTATTTTTTCTTTTCCTCTTGCCTCTGTATAATGCATATTAAAGTTCATAAGTGCAGCGCTGCTTTGTTTACAGCGGAAACCAAGGAAACGCTTTAAGCGCCACCTGCTGGCAGAGAGTGAATCTGCGTCTCATTCAGCTCGTCTGCTGTTTCTGTTTCATGCAGATATTTTTTATGTATAGTTTCACAAAACTGAAGTCAAACCATTCTGTTTTTGCTTCAAATTTTGAAATTATACAATCTAATTTAGATTAAAAACTGCTCATGTTGCATGTATGCAGCATCTTTGTTTGGATCGTGATTAAAATGCAGTGGTTGCCTCTAATTTTAAAAGGAAAGAGCACAGACAAAGCCTTATTTTGTTTATATGAAGAGATTTATTTTATTTGTGTTATTTATTTTATTTGGGGCTTGTTTTAAAATTTCAATTTAGTTTTGTTATTTACATTTACATTATATTTAAATTTAGTCATTTAGCAGATGCTTTTATCCAAAGCGACTTACAAATTAGGACAATAGAAGCAATCAAAACCAACAAAAGAGCAATAATATGCAAGTGCTATATTAGTATATTATTATAGTGTTATATTTCAATTTCACAAAGAAATGTGCAGCATTTTGTCCAAGCAATAATAAAAGGACACATTTAATTTATAATTTGTCTTAAATCTCATTTTGTAAAAAATTTGTTAAAAAACCGTGAATCGAATCGAATCGTGAGTTGAGTGAATCGTTACATCCCTATGTGTAAGTGAGTGGCAGAGAGGATGATTATGTGTTACTCGTGTGAGTAGTTTCTCTTTTTCCTCTGTCTCTTCAGGTGTGAGGGGTTCAGCCTCGTCTATCTTTGCTTGTTCCTCTTTTTGGGCCTGTGCTGAATTCGGGATATCTGGATTACGTGGAACCTACAATAAACACACGTACACAGTCACACACCGCTTTAGATCAGATGCTTCATCAGCAAAAACTTGATCAGACTGCACAGGAATATTCAATACAATCATGACGTACAATGTGCTCACCATGTATCCGATGGTTTTCCTGTAGTAAAGAATCTCCATCTCCAGCAGCTCAAAGAGACGTGGTGGAAAGAACTGAAAGTCCTGGATGTTGGGCTGCTTTGGAGGCCGAGGAGCCTGGATCACATTCACACAGACACACACTTTTTATGATCTCTCCACATACACTTGTTGTGCAGATATTTTCATGCAACCATCTGTGTGATGCTTGATGTGTACTGTATAATGACAAAACATTGTTATGCTCCTGGCAGATGCATCTTTATCTAGCGGACACTTCACTTTAATCAAAACACTCATTTGGTTTTCAATTTAATTTAATGATATTCATTAAAATTGAGGTTTACTGGCTCCCTGCTGTAAGTATTTTGCTGACAGGTTTATAACTTTATAAACTATCAACTTCCATCACATTTACTAGATATCTGTTTTTTTTAAGGACCAGGCAATATTAAAGCTAGTTTACTCTGCCCTTGCAAATAGCAACAGAATACAATTTCCCAATGGTTGTTGGTTTTTGACAGTTATTTTTCTCAACATAAAATCTAGATCCAGTAATATTGATGATTGGTGGGACAGTCTGATGCAATTTTAGTATTATTTATATACTATTACAGTAATTAATATCTAAATTTGCCTCTAATTATTTTAGTGTAAGAGTAATTTTGTTGTGCATTTGCCTTTTTATTAGCTTTTTTATTTTTATATTTAGCTATAGTAATTTTAGTACTACAACTGAAATTTACTTTATTTCAGCTAGTTGCCAAGGACACATTTCTACTTTTTTAAGCTTTTCATATAATATTCAGGTTTATTTCAATGAACAAAGATGATTTTTAATAGTTTTAGTTTTAGTTAACAATAACAGCACTGACTAGTACAACATAAAATAATTGTAAACTACATTCACAAAATGTATCGTACACATCATATTTATATATTTTATAATAAAAAAGATGGTAGTTTTATGAATATAATTTTATCAAAAACACTAGTAACTTATAAAACTGACACTATAAATTTACAAATTGGATTAAAACAACTATAGATATTAAGAAGCTGCATCAAAGGTGCAATGTTCCCCTACAACAGGAAGTAGAACACTGCATTTACTTCTTCTTTAGTAGCCACTTTTATCCTTATTGATGTTTTTTATGACTTACAGTGCACTATTCGAACAAACCGTCCCTCAGGAGCAATCTAGAGTTAAGTGTCTCTCTCAAGGGCACAGCAGTGACAGGACAGACAGAAGAAGAACGTCCAGTTCATGAGGTCATTTTCTGAGTCAGCGTTTGAACCTGCAACCTTTGTGTTTCAATCCTTTATCCATTACGTCCCTCTAATACATGATGATACAGCACCCTTCAGCTGAGTTACTACTACTGTTTACTTTACGCACTGAAAACAGTGCATTATTTATTGTGTAGTAGGCTTGTGTACACTGTAATTGCATTAGAGTATGCAGTCATGAGTAGCACTGACAAAAAAATCAGTTCAGTGTCTAAACTGTGCACGTGTGTTACCTTCGGGGCTCTTGGTTCGCTGACTCGCAGAGCATCTCTGAAGTAAGCATCTACAGCGTAATTGGCCTTCCTTTCTCTCTTAGGAGGCTCGATCCATTCGATCAAACTTAGCTGCACAACACAGAATTCTTTAAACCACTTAAACACACACATACACTATGCTTTCAGTCTGTGACATGAAAGTGCAAAGCTTAAAAAGCTGCCAAATGCATGCTGATAGACTCCGATACACCTCAGAGCTGCATTATACGCAAGTATGAATCGATTCCCAGCCAGTAACACAGACACTAACTTTTTGTTTCTCTCTGTAATCCTCTCCCTCAAAGTTGTAAAGGCTGGTCTCGGTGCCGCCCGTGTCCATGGTGAAGTTCCTCAGCGAGCTCTCGCCGAGTTTCTTCAAGCGTTCGTTCATCTCTGCCGTCTGAGAGGAAGAACAGCCATCAAAGAGAGTTCAACAGGGTCATATAGAATCAACCAGAGTGTCAGAGTGGAAAATTCTCATGATGTGAAGAAAATCTGATGGGTTTTATTTATATTCATCAGTTTGAATATGAATGCCTTTGGAATTTGAATCTGAAGCTATTATGGAGTTTACCAGTTAATTTAACCAACTATATAGTTTTCAGTCTAGTCTTAATTTGTTTGTGTCCACTCACCTTCTTGGCGCATCTTTCCAGAATGGTGTCGATGTCTTCATCTGTTAGTTCGCTGTCTTTAGAGGCAAACACGCGTGTTGCTCCATGTCGAATCATTTGTAGCATTTCATCCTTCCCCAGTTTACTCTGCTGATCAATCAGCCGTCCTGTAAGAGCACAAATAACAGCACATCACTGTTGTTTAACACATCATAAGACAGGCGCAAAGACTACTTGACCTTTTTTTAATTGTTCAAATTTCAGTTTTAAACACTAAATATAAACACTAATGACCAATTTTTAAAACTGCAATTGGTTGTTAATGCACCAAACTGTTAAATTCCAAATAAAAAATTAAATACTTCTTGTGAGACATCAACATTTATTCATGGTATGTGGTGTATAGAAAACATGCACTACAATTCAAAAGTCTGATTTTTTTAAAAATGTTTTTAAGTCTTATTTAATGTTTTTTTTTTAAGTCTTATTAAGTCTTTTTTTAAAAGACCGTAATATTGTGAAATATTATTAAAATTTGAAATGTGTTTTCTACTTTAATATATTTTTTTATGTAATTTATTAATGTGATGGCAAAGCTTTTTACTGCAAAGACATTACTGAAGTTATCAGTGACCCTTCAGAACTCATTCTATGCTGATTTGGTGCTCAAGAAACATTTCTTATTATTATCAATCTTTACTGTCACTTCTGATCAATTTAATGCACCCTTGCTGAATAAAATTATTTCATTAAAAAAAAAAAATACTGACCCCAAACTTTTGAACAGTAGTGCAGACACACTGGCCACTAGTAAATACCACTAGGTTTCAACATCACACACCAAACTCATGCATCCAATACTAGTTCAAAGTCTGCTCCAGTGAGAAATCTATTAGCATCTACAATTTGCAAACCATCTGTAGAGTTTTGTTTACTTTAAGTAATGCAAATTACTTATAATTACACATTTGCAATACGAAGTTTGAGTTTTTTTGTTTAATTGACTGTTAAATCCATTTCCCCTCTGCCATTACAGCCATTCAGAGAGAGAGAATTACTGTAATTACTTTTAAAACATGGACACCTTAAAATTCATAGTTTCATATTTATATTTTTAAAGGTGTCATTAGACATGAGAACCGTAGAGAGACTGAACCGTAAGGAATAATTTTTTTCTCTGCAGCAACTGTTTTACTCCTAGTGTGTACATACCCTGCTGAATCACTATAGAGTCCAGGCGTAGCTTCATCTCCGCTCTCTCCACAATCCTCTCCTCCACTGTGTTGTCTGTGATCAACCTGAACACTTTTACTGGTTTCCTCTGTCCGATACGGTGAGCACGGTCCTAAAATACAGTACACGGCACAACAATATTCTGTTACACCAAATACACAAAATAATGATCTTTAAAAAAGCATCATATGACCCCTTTAAAACACCAGTCATAAAGAACGCTGGCACATCTCTGAGGCTCACAATCATAAAGTTTACTGAGCTTGGTTTTGTAGTTGTGTGTGTGTGTGTGTGTGTGTTGTGATTCTCACCATGGCCTGCAGGTCCACCTGTGGGTTCCAGTCTGAGTCGTAGAGAATCACCACATCAGCTGTAGCCAAATTAATTCCCAGCCCACCTGCTCGTGTGCTCAGCATGAAGATAAATTTACTGCTGTTCGGGGCATTAAAAGCATCTATGGCTTGCTAATGCACAACAACAGAGATAGAAGGACAGCATTTAAGAGAGACAGAAATTATTTATTTGACTTATATAATTATAATTCATATGGTCTACTTATCATTGGTAGTCTATTAGGGTGGTCAGTGGCTGATATACATAAAGCTATTTACATATACAACTGATTTTTACATGTATAACAAATTTACACAATAAAATCGAACAGATTCTTATTCTACACAATTTCACTAAAAACATTCAAAACAGGCAAACTGGTTGTTAGATTTGAAATTGATAGAAGAAGAAACTAACACTTTTAATGTCTAGTATTTGCAAGAATATTCTTAGCTTATGAATGTGTCTAACATCCCCATGTAACCACAGACTTTACATTCACCCCAGAACTGATCAGCGGTTCCCATGACTACCAGGTTGGTTAATCAGTGTCTTTATATAAACTCTGCTGAGATTCCACGTGAAGTATCTGTATGTGTCTCATAATTTTATAAAGCCTGTTGATTTCCTTTCTTCCTCTTGGTGAATCGTTCCTTTATACCTTTTGGTATTTAGAGATGGGAATCGTGATTTAACGAGAGCAGTTCTGTTTTTTCTTACCAGACCATAAACAATATCTTTAGTTCTTCAGAGAAAGAAATATTTTAGTAGATGAAATGCAAGTCCTTTGCAAGTTCATATTAAAAAAACTTGAAATTTTTTTTATAAAAAATAAAAAAAATTCACAGGTGGAATAAAGACAATACCATACCATAAAGGCAAAACTATATATTAAATAATAATACTAAACAAACTACAAACAGCATGGCCCCAGCTTTAAAACAAAAGAGTATTTACAGTTGATTTTAGCAAGTGTATATCGTTTTTTCAGGTACCTATATTGTTTTTATGGAACCCAATTAATATGACTATCCAATAATAATATTAATTAAATCAATAATTATTTAATTTTTTATTTAATTCAATTATAAAAGTTAAACATAAACATATTACAGTAATATTACTATTGAACTCTAAAGTAAAAAATATTATTTGTATTTTTTATTTTCTTTATTTTTATTTTCTGTCTTAAATTCTTAGCTTTTGCATGTTAAACCAAGGCATTAATGTTTTTTGGAAGAAAACCACTGGAAGACTTACAACTTTTTTCGTAGACCTATTCTGGATCCAAAATGGCTATTTTTGCAAAAAGGTGACAAGTTTCCCTGTAACATGCCTTATTCATTCATTTAATTTTGTTGCAACTGACAAAACTTATAATGTGTGTCTTTAAAGGGGTCATATGATGCGATTTCAATTTTAACGCATTGGATAGCTGGCCAATCAGAGCACACCTCGCTTTTTTAGACCGATGAGCTTTGTAAAAATCGAGGCGTTTCAAAAAGGCGGGGCAGAGAGGAGAAACAATAATGTACAGTATGTGGAAAATAATGTGTTTTTTTAACTTTAAACTGCATAAACACATTTCATTACACCAAATACACAAAATAATGTTCTTTTTAGCAGCATCATATGACCCCTTTAAGTGAAATTTTTTGACTAATGAACCAGTCAATTAACTACTGATTCACTATTAATAACTGACTCAAAAGAGTAATTTGTCATCATGAATCGATTGAACTTACACCAGTTATGCTGTATGATTTTGATTCAATAAAAAATGAATTGGCTCATAAGAGCCATTTGTTGCATAACATGCATGTGTCTGTATGAAACCATGCTATTTAATGTATGCATGTGTCAGTATGTGTACCTCTCTGGCCTCGTGAGGTGTATTCCCATCCAATCTGCAGTACTCGAACCCTCTCCACATGCAATAATCTTCCAGAATATCCAACATCCGTGTCATCTGGCTGAATATTAACACTCTGGATCCTGTACACACATATATCCAGGAATGCATGCAAAAATATGAAAAAGTTAATCTGCATTCTAACTAAAAACATGACTAAATATCTGCCCATTAAAAGCTAATAAACACACACACACTCACACTGCTCACCTTGCTCTTGCACTTTAGGCAGAAGTTTATCCAGCACAACCATCTTGCCGCTGTTGGTGGCTAAGTGTGTGTCCGTGGTGTATGGGGGACCAGGCTCCGCCCCGTCAAACAGGTACGGATGGTTGCAGCATTTCCGCAGCTGCATCAGAATATTCAAAAGCCGCATCTTATCCATCTTACCAGCAGAGTTCAGGATGTCAATATCCTTCATTAGGATACGTGTGTACCTGGTTAAAACAAGGAAACAAACAGTTTGTTAGTGTGTGAATTTTTATTGCAACACATGACAATAACTGCTAATTGTTTTTTAATTGATTTTTGACTGGGCAGGATGGTCGACTAGTCTTTTAACAGCCTACTAAATGGTTGGTGAGGTTGATTAGTGCAGTGTTTCCCCTGCCATTACATTAGGGGGGCGCCCCGCAGGTCAAGTTAATTTTATTTTCTCTATAGCGCCAGATCACAACATAAGTCATTTAAAGTAGCAACTAGAGGGGTATGGTATTAGAGGGGTTGGTTTGGACTGGGTGAGTAGTTATCTAAGAAACAGGCAACAGTTTGTGGAAATCTGTTAACAGAAACTTGTGGTGTACCACAAGGATCCGTTTTAGGTCCAAAACTGTTTATAATTTATATCAATGATATGTGTAGAGTACCAGATATACTAACATTTATTTTATTTGCGGATGACACAAATATTTTCTGTTCCGGGGATAATTTACAGCAGCTTTTGGAGGTGATAACCATTTAAATTAATAAACTAAAACAATGGTTTGATGTAAATAAATTGTCATTAAATATAAGTAAAACTTTATGATTAAAAAAGATTATGTTATTTGGAACCCTCAAGTAGAATTGAAAATTGACAATGTAAATATAGAAAGAGTAAATGAAAATAAGTTTCTTGGTGTAATTTTAGATCACAAGATATGCTGGAAACCACAAATAAAGTATGTTAAAGTGGCAAAGACTACAGCAATTCTGAATAAAGGAAGACATATTTTGGACAATAAATAAATGCATATTCTGTATAATACATTTGTATTACCGTACTTGAGTTATTGTGTGGAAATCTGGGGAAATACCTACAAAACCAATTTACAATCAATATGAATATTACAAAAGAGAGCAATCAGAATTATTAATAATGTAGGATATCTGGAACAGACAAATTTATTATTTTTACAGTCAAATATATTGAAGTTAATTGATTTGGTTAAATTTAAAAGAAGCAAGTTATGTTTAAAGTTATGTTTAAAACAAGAAATAAGTTATTTCCGGGAAAGTACAAAAAATGTTTTTGGAAAGGCAGAGTGGCTATAACTTTAGGGAAGAGTTAAACTTTAAAAAGATTAATATAAGAACAACTTTAAAAAGTATGTGTATCTCTGTTTGTGGGGTGCGGTTGTGGAATGGTTTGGAGCAGGTGTTAAAGCATTGTATAAATATTAAACAGTTTAAAACATTGTATAAAAACACTTTATTAAAGGGATAGTTCACCCAAAAATGAAAATTTGATGTTTACTGAACTCTGCAGGACTGCGGCTCTCACCGACCGAACTTGCCTACCCCTGCCCTGGGGGTAAGCAGATAAACATAAAATTTTCATTTTTGGGTGAACTATCCCTTTAAAAGGATATGTGGATGTATAGAGGTGATTGTGAGGGTTATGGGGGTTATAATGTTGATTGTATTAGGATGGGTGATTGTGGGGTGACTGGTTGTTTTGGATAAAAACCATTTGGTTGGTGTTTAAGTTATTGTGGACTTGTTATTTTGTAAGGAATATATAAAAATATAAAGATACCGATGTAATATATTAAAAGATATACTGGAACGATATGGAATTGTATACGGGGTGGGAAAAATAGTAAGCTTTTGCTTCATCCTGCTCCTTTTCGGACATTTGGTATAACGTCTTTGGGACGTGGTTTTTCTTTGGTGCTGCAACATATTTGTTGTGTTTATATATTTTGTTTTATATTGTGCTTTGTTCGAAATAAAATGAAAAATGAAATGAAATATTAAAAAAAGTTACCTTTCCTATAGAACAGGTCTACCTTGTTGTTTTATTAAACAAACTAAATAGCCTTATGTTTTTGTTTTTTTTATTTTATTTTGCATTTCAACAACATCTTAACAGAACAAAATAGGCTAACATAAACACAACTGTAAGTCCTCACAGACTGAGGCCTTATGTTATCTTATGGCGCTTTTCCACTGCGTGGTACGACTCGGCTCGGCTCGGTACGGCTCGGTTTGCATTTCCACTGCAGTTCAGTACCGCTTTAGAGTGGGCGGGATTATTCACATGTCGTTATAGTTGCGCCGCCTCTACTGCCGCGACTCCTAAAAAACTTTTTCATTCCGCGTCGCCCCATCAAGCTCTCGCTGGATCCGCTCCTCTGCTATCAACGAGAGGAACGTTTGTACTACCTCAACAGGGGGAACAGCCACTTTTTAGTTGTTAAAAAAAGGTGCGCTCGTTCAAAACAGTTGCGTTCGATCCTTCGCTGGCTGTGCTGATTTAAATCTAGCAGTTCTTTTGTGTTTGTGTCGCAAGTTCAGAGACACAGGTAGTGACGATTCTCTCCGGCCAATCCGTGATCAGCAGAGTTTACACGTCACGTTTTGGTAACGGTACGGTACGCTTGGAACCCCAACCGAGGTGGTACTAAAAAAAGTACCAGGTACCAGGTACTGTACCATGCAGTGGAAAAGCGCCAAAAGTGCCCAGTAGGGGTGTTAAAGGCATGTCATTTCTGTCTCTACGTTACATGGTCGCGCTCTCTGTATCGCGCACAACGGAGTTCCGCCCCAATGCACACACACACACACACACACACAAACGTGCGCGCACACACAAGTGAGCACACTCCCACTCCCACTAGTATTTGTAAATATTAGGCCGCAAAACGACTATTTAAATATGAATTCTGCGCGTCTCTGTGTTAATGAATGGCACAGACGCCTGTTTTGTTTACTACTCGTACTGAAGCGTGCGTGACGCTTCCGGTGATATTAACGTCTGCCGTCTCACTAATGAGGACATAAATACATGAACAACATCTCCAGAACTGCTCTGAGAGTCACTTCATGAGCATTTGACTGTTTCATTTGAGTAAAACTATCCTCATATCACATACACACAGAAATGTAAAGGTATTCACGGCAACCCATCAAAATAAAAGTTCGGTTTAACTTGAAGACATTGCGGCAGAAATATATTATTATTGTTCAGTAGAATGTACGTTATAGGCTACTACTACTAAAATTAAAACCTTATTTTTAAGGAATAATCATACAATATTTCTTCAATGTTTTAATTGTAATACCGTATTGTCCCGAATATAAGACCATGTTTTTTTCTTTAACTTGAAGGCATTGGCAGAAATATATTACTATTGTTGAGTAGAATGTACGTAACAGACTGCTACTACTACTACTAAAATTATTAAAACCTTATTTTTAAGGAATAATCATACAATATTTCTTCAATGTTTTAATTGTAATATTAAATCCCCTTTATTTTCTAAAAAATTTAATTTGTTTAATTTTCATTAATTAAAAGATAAATTAAATGAATGTTTTATGTCTTAAAATTTTAAATACACAACACAGAATTTCTGAGGGAAAATTGGCTATTGTAAGAATAAATGAAACTTGTTTTTATGCTTTCAAATAATTAGGCATGCTAAAACACAGAATTTGGTAACAATAAAACATAAGGTTGCGAAAAAAAATATTTAATTGGGCCCTAAACATTTAATTTTGTTAAACTTTTAATAAATTGATGTTAAATTGTTTAAGTTTCATGATTTTAACTAATTAGACATGCTTTTTGATTAATAAAATTTAATTTAACCATTAAAAAGGAAAAAAACGGAACCCCTTGGTAAAAATGTACAACTCAGTCCATCGAAGTTCTAAATAATTTGCAGTCTCATGCAGATAACAAAAGCACATCAGCATTTACTGTACATCTAGGGGTGCTCCAATTGATCAGCTACCGATCACTATCGGCCGATAATCGCTTTGGGATGTTTAATCGGCAGTCTGTATAAAGGCCGATCTCATAAACCGATCTCAAGCTGACCACGCGCCTGCCGTCAGAGGTTTGGCGTAACATGTGGTGGCACTGTCTCACTCTCTGTCCGGCGTGAGGTAAAATAATTATAATGCTGAAGGTGAGCTACAATTCATATTTCTTCATTAAATAACTTATAAAGTAATGTGAAAACTTTCTGTAAGACATAATATCACAAATAACCGTGAGTGAATAACCGCGCGCTCTTTCTCTTTCCATCTTTTAAAAATGCGCAAATGGCTTCAAATCAAATCGCGTCTGCACTATAAGCGAGCTGCACGCTGCACAGTT